AATTTCCCTCTGGGATTATTAAAGTATTTCTGATTCTGATTCTGATTCTGATTGATGTGGTCTGAGCCTCATGGATTTGTCTTGCAGTGGCAGATAAGGTGGCCTTCCTCATGGGGCTGAACTCGGCCGACCTCCTGAAAGGCCTTTGCTACCCCCGAGTGAAAGTGGGGAATGAATATGTCACCAAGGGCCAGACGGTCCCACAGGTACCTGAACAGGATCCCTCTCCCATCCCGATTTCCTGAGGTGTCGGTCTGCTTTACATATACAGGACTGTCTCAGAAAATTAGAATATGGTGATAAAGTTCTTTATTTTCTGTAATGCAATTAAAAATCAAGAAATGTCATACATTCTGGATTCATTACAAATCAACTGAAATATCGCAACCCTTTTATTGTTTCAATATAGATGATTATGGCGTACAACTGAAGAAAACTCAAAAATCCGATATTGTAATATTTTGAGATAGGATATTTGGGTTTCTTAAGCTGTACGTCATAATCAGCGATATTCAAACAACACTTACAAAGAATGCAACGATCTATAACTTTAATCATATTTACATTCTAACAGTGAAAGACAGAATCCCAAAGAAAATTACAGAAAATCACATCATATGAATTCATAAAAATTGATAACCATCTGATGAGGAAAAATAAGCATTCTTTGTAAGTGGGCAAACCTGCAAAATTAGCAAGGGGTCATGATTATGGCGTACAGCTGAAGAAAACTCAAAAATCCGATATTCTAATATTTTGAGATAGGATATTTGGGTTTTCTTAAGCTGTGAGCCATAATCAGCGATATTAAAACAATAAAAGGCTTGCGATATTTCAGTTGATTTGTAATGAATCCAGAATGTATGACATTTCATGTTTTTTAATTGCATTACAGAAAATAAAGAACTTTATCACAATATTCAAATTTTCTGAGACAAGCCTGTAGCTGTTTTTTACTCCACAAGGTGACCAATGCCGTCAGCGCTCTGGCCAAATCGGTGTACGAGAAGATGTTCCTGTGGATGGTCATTCGAATCAACGAGATGCTGGACACAAAGCAGCCCCGGCAGTTCTTCATCGGCGTGCTGGACATCGCTGGATTTGAAATATTCGATGTGAGTTTCCGCTAACAGTCGCCGCTTCCTGTGAAGAAAAAAAAACAAAAAATAAACAGTGGGTTTTTTTTCTCTTCTCAGTTCAACAGCATGGAGCAACTCTGCATCAATTTCACCAACGAGAAGCTGCAGCAGTTTTTCAACCATCACATGTTCGTGCTGGAGCAGGAAGAGTACAAAAAGGAAGGCATCGACTGGGAGTTTATTGACTTCGGTATGGATCTGGCCGCCTGCATAGAGCTCATAGAAAAGGTAAGGTGGACCCACATGTTGTAATGGCTGGAACATTGTTGTGTTACCGTTTATAAGGTCAACTTTAGCTCTACAGCCTCTGTGTCTTCAAACCTAAATAAGGAGGTGTTTCTCTATGATCCCAGGATCGATTTCTTTTAATTTAATTTGATATCTGGGTGGAAATGGGAAAGAGAGCTTTCAAATATGCTGCTCCTCTTGCTTAGAAAACCTAGTAAAAACACCTAAAACTCTACAAACTTTAGATGCTTTTCAAAGGAGAAAACAGAATCATCTGTCTAGTCTTTAATTGAATTCATTTTGGTTTACCAGTATTGGATCAAATACACAAGATTCACTGTTTAAATGTGTAAATCTCACTGAAAACTCCTAAATAATCCCATACTACTCTCAACAGCCAATGGGGATCTTCTCCATCCTTGAGGAGGAGTGTATGTTCCCCAAGGCCACAGACACCTCCTTTAAGAACAAGCTCTACGACCAGCATCTTGGGAAAAATAGCGCCTTCCAAAAGCCAAAGGTGGTCAAAGGCAAGCCTGAGGCTCATTTCTCCCTGGTGCACTACGCGGGAACCGTGGACTACAACATCACCGGCTGGCTGGAGAAAAACAAAGACCCCCTCAACGAATCGGTGGTGCAGCTCTACCAGAAGTCGTCCATGAAACTGCTGGCCTTCCTGTACGCCTCGTTTGCTGGTGGAGAAGGTGGGACGTCTGCAGAGTATGAGTAGAGTAAACCTGCTGCAAGTCCCAGCTCATGCTTGTTTTTCCTTTATTTAGAGTCAGGTGGGGAGGCTGCAGGTGGAAAAGGTGGAAAGAAAGGAGGAAAGAAAAAGGGGGGGTCATTTCAGACGGTGTCGGCTGTTTTCAGGGTAGGAAAAGTCAAGTTTTTTACTCTAATTTAGTTCAATCCAGTCATTTAAGGCCAATATAGTCTCTCTTTTTCTATATATATATACACACATGTATATACATCAGTAATATATGTGTTGTTGTTTTTTTTAATACTATGTTTTAAATAATTGACTCACAGAGTAACAGAAGCAGTCACAAATCTTGTTAATTGATGAAATTTATTGCGAGCCCACAGGCTCCAAACCAGCCTAAAGGAAGAGCCTCACATTTTTTTTCTGTTATAAGTGTGTCTACATGGACATACTGCCAGTTCAAAACAAAAAATTCTGAAATGTGTTTCTGGAAAATTAAGAAAACACTGAACAAACTGGTTCAAATTCGGTACAGCTGATTGTAAATTTGAACGAGTGTTAATGGAAATTAATCAAAACGATTTTCCGCTGCTATTAAACTGGACCTGTTGGCAGTTAGTGTTCGGATTACTGAGGGTTAACCTGGGTGCTTGCTCTTTGGCAGGAAAATCTGGGAAAGCTGATGACCAACCTGAGGTGCACGCATCCACACTTTGTGCGGTGCCTGATTCCCAACGAGGTCAAAACACCAGGTGACAACCAAAGCCAAAGCTTCTGCTCCAGACACTGCAGAACAGACGCTCCTCGGTCTGACTCCGGGTCGTTTCGGTCCCTCTAACGGCAGGTATCATGGACAACCACCTGGTTATCCACCAGTTGCGCTGCAACGGGGTGCTGGAGGGCATCAGGATCTGCAGGAAGGGGTTCCCCAGCAGGATCCTCTACGCTGACTTCAAACAGAGGTAAACTTAGACTTAGACTTAGACTTAGACAGTACTTTATTGATCCCTTGGGAAGACTCCCTCAGGAAATTAAGGTTACCAGCAGCTTAAAGGGCAAAAAGTATTAAGTTAGAATTAAATTAAGCAAAAAAATAAAAATAAATAAATAAAAATACAAAAAATACAGATTAAGTACAGTGTATGTGCCACCTCCTCGCCCCCAGTGAGGCGTTGTACAGTTTGATGGCGTGGGGGACAAAAGAGTTCTTAAGTCTATTGGTCTCCTGGAAGAAGAAATCTCACAAAGCTGCCGATGTGAATCTGTGTTGCCATCCCAGGCTGTGATTTCCTAACTCTGTCCCAACCAGGTACAGAATCCTGAATGCGAGTGCCATCCCAGAGGGACAGTTCATCGATGGAAAAAAGGCCTCCGAGAAACTGCTGGGTTCCATTGACGTCGACCACACACAGTACCGTTTTGGCTCCACAAAGGTGAGTCCAAATCCTGAACGAAAAACCACCAATGACGTTAATCAGGGGCTTTGTTGTTTATTCATCTCAATTAGACTCGTTTTGATCAAATAGCTCTATTTTATCAGAATCAGAATCAGAATCAGAAATACTTTAATAATCCCAGAGGGAAATTATTTTATGTAAAAAGTCTTAGTTTGAAAAATAAATTAAATCAATGCTGTTTGACGACTGAATCGGCAGATAGATATTTAAGGCTTAGGCCTTCTTATTTTCTTCCCCCCTCTCAATAAAAAGTGTTTGTAAAGCCACTGAAAGATCATAACCTCAAATATTTAGCATTTATTTGCAATGCATTGCACATAAATGGATGTTCCACCTGTTTAAATTAATTTAAAAAAGGTGATTTCATCTCACATTTCAGAGATATTGTAAGCTAAACTACAGCTTTTTTCTCCAACTTTCCACCAAACAAGTCGTCCATCTCTAGTTTCACAACTTCTTCTGCCCGGAAGACCCTCCAGTCTTTCTGGGCTTCTTATTCATGGTTGGAAATTAACTTTAGAGCTGGTTTAAACGTGTTTTGACCCGGTCATTTCAGGTGTTCTTCAAAGCGGGCCTGCTCGGCACGCTGGAGGAGCTGCGAGACGAGAAACTGGCCTCTCTGGTGACTCAGACTCAGGCTCTGTGCCGCGGCTACGTGACCAGGAAAGAGCTTTCCAAGGTGGCTGCGCGAAGGTGAGAGGCCGCCGAAAACCCTCCGAGGGATGAAACGCAAACCGAGTGGTTCCTCTTTCAGGGAGAGCATCTGGACTCTGCAGTACAACCTGCGCTCCTTCATGAACGTGAAGCACTGGCCGTGGATGAAGCTGTTCTTTAAGATCAAGCCCCTTCTGAAGAGCGCCGAAACCGAGAAGGAGATGGCCACCATGAAGGACGACTTCGTCAAATGCAAAGACGATCTGGTGAAGGCGGACGCCAGGAGGAAGGATCTGGAGGAGAAAATGGTTTCCCTGCTTCAGGAGAAAAACAACCTACTCCTGCAAGTCCAGGCTGTGCGTATGAACGAAAGAAAACCTCACCGCCATTGAAAGTGTGCGGCTGTTTTCATTAGGGATGGGTCGGTTTCTGAAAACCGTCCGAACCGTTCGGTTGGACTGTCTCGGTTCGGTTCGCGTGTGTTGCGTTCGGTTCATGCTGCTCCTTTTTCTCAGAGGGAAGCGTTTACACTCCAGACCAGAAGGGGGCGCTACTGCGCCCAAAGCCAACCACCAGTAGGAAACAAGAAGAAGAAGCGAAGCAGCGTAGCCGATAATAAAAATCCGACGCGCCAACAGCAGTTTATATTCTGCTGTATGGGACCAGTTTGCATTTAGAGGGAAGCACGTGTTGGAATTAGCACTGTTTCCTCTCTTGCAATGCCAGAATCTCACCTACTTTTAACCTAACACTGTCACAATAATGTATCAAATGTCAGACTACTTTCTTCTTTCAGTTTTAACCTTACTATACAAAACATAATAGATTTTCCTAACAATCAACATATACCGAACCGAACCGAAAACCGTGACCACGAAACCGTGAATCGAACCGAACCGTTGATCTTGTGAACCGTCCCACCCCTAGTTTTCATGCGTCTGAGGTTTGATGCTTTGTCCCAGGACTCGGAGAGCCTGTGCGACGCAGAGGAGAGATGCGAGGGTTTGATCAAGAGCAAGATCCAGCTGGAGGCCCGGCTCAAGGAGGTGACCGAGCGGCTGGAGGAGGAGGAGGAGCTCAACGCCGAGCTGACGGCCAAGAAGAGGAAGCTGGAGGACGAGTGCTCCGAGCTGAAGAAAGACATCGACGACCTGGAGATCACGCTGGCCAAAGTGGAAAAGGAGAAACACGCCACTGAAAACAAGGTCTGTGACAGAAATGGGCACAAGGAAAACCAACCCCTCCACTTCAAAGAAGGACAAATCCTGCCAGGGTTATAGCTCTGGTCCCACTTTTTACACATTTAAAAAGCACCTTAAACTGTTTCTCAAAAGTTCCCAGTCATGCAATCACTAATTTTAATTTTGTAATGTCATTGTCTGAACGTGTGTCTCTCTGTTTTAACTGATATTGTA